GTTTCAGAGAGAAAGGATGAGATGAAGGAGGCTTGGTCCACGGGTAATTCCAGGCCGGTTTCTTCAGCCAGTTCAGGGCAAGGGCTCCTGGTCCAGAAGCACTTTGATTTCCAAATATGGGAGGTTGTGGGGGTGGACAAGAAAGGAGGGGCTCCTCCAGGGCAGCTGGAGCCAAGAGTAAGGACGCTTTGCGGGGAGGCTGTGCTGAGCTCCAGGAGATACTACTGTTCTCACCTAACATTTTAATATCATAGCCTCTGGTTCACACACTTCATCTCATCAACCGTCAGAGCAATCCCGGGAGATAAACAGGCTGATCCCTGCTTTACAGCCGAGATGCCCAGAGGGGTGAAGTGGCTGGTCTGAGATCACACAGCCGCAGGCGGGGGACTGAGGCTCAACCAGATGCGGGGGGCTCTGGGAGTGCGCCCTGGGGCTGCCCCGTGTTTTCCTAGAGCACGGGGAGAGGGACCCTGGCTTGACAAGGCCATCAGTCTTGTGGGAGCTTCCCAAACTACTCCAGCGTGAAAACCTTCCAGAAGGATTCTCCACAGGGCAATGCGGCAAGAAATTGATGGCTTGGCCTGACTAATGGGCCAGGCAGTTAGGAGGTCTTTGCCGGGCTATGAGTATAATTTAAAGGAACCAAGGAAGGAAGAAAGGCCCCCTAACTCACATCTTTAAGGGCTCCAAGAACGAGAGACATGTTAGATCACTGAAAACCTCTCTGCTCCTCAGGCCAAAAAAGACCTGTGTGTTTCTGGCTATTTCGGTCAAAGAACAGGGAGTGTAGATGAATACACGTGGCAGGAAAAAGCAAGGAAAATACTCGCAGGTCATAAATTTCCAGCTGACGGTTCCTTTGTTATTTTCTGACCGGCTTGGTATTTATTTAACCACGTTCTCCGTGTTCATGCCTCTCCCCACACCTTGTAAATGCCACCCTCCTAGCCGAGTAATTTTTCATTGAATAGAATTGAAACATTGCCAGGAAAGTGGCCTTTGGGATGGCAGGAACGGAGCTGCAGCAGACGGAGTGGGAGAGCCCAGCATGGGAGGAGAAGGTGGCATTGGAGTCCTGGCCACTTTGCTGTGTGATTTTAGAGATGTCACTTCATCTCTCTGGGCCTCAGTTTCCTTTTTTGTAAAATAAAGAGCTTGGACCGATTGTCCTCTCTGGTTTCAAAGTCCTGTGAATTTCCTGCAATCGTGGTAACTCACAATATCATCATTATTCAGACTCTGGAAGTAAGACTTGCCCTCTGCTAACGCCCAGAGTGTTTTATCCATGTGTGAAAAGGTGACATTCATACTTTTCATCTCAAGTTTATTTATATGAGCATTTCTTTCTCCCCCCCCCCAACCTGGACTCTGCATGCTTTGGTTGGGCTGTCTTTTTCCTCCTTGTCCCCTTCCCCAACCACGCATGGCGCCCGGTGCACGCCTGTCCCCCAGGAACCCTCTGGTGTGAATGAAACATGAGAGAAGACAGCCTCCACTCCTATTTGTCCTGAGGTCGGGTGACTTGATTTAAAGTTTTTCTTACGAAAAGTACATTCTTTCTATTTGATAAAATTGAATATATGTTTCAAGATGCAGAGTTAGAAATAAATTTTATTTTCATAAGGATCTTATTAAAACGCATCTTTTCTACACCAGACTTTGAATCAAAGCGCCAGATTTTTCAAGTTTTCTGGAAGATGCTACTCCCCAGATTTCATCATGGCTGCTCTCTTCTCTCTGCCCCAAATGGCTCATGTGGGTCATTGTTGAGCAGTAATTCCCCCATCACCGTGGACACAATATACCCGTTGATACTGGCCCTGACCAGGGTGGCTGGCTTTGCCAGTGGAATGTTAGCCAGTGTGATACAAGCCAAGGCCTTGAACGTGTGCTTCTCCTGGCCACTTGTGCCCCTGCTGTTTATCATGAGAAGAACACAGAGAAGAGACCAGAAGCCACACCGCAGCCTGGACCAACGAAAGCACAATCAAGCTGCTATACCATCTAAAAGTCAGCGAGATACTGAGTGTTGGGGTTGTATGTTGTGCGACCGTATTGCAGCAGTAGGTGACCACAATGGCAGACTGAGATCATACTGGAGTAATCATGGTCCAGGCGTACAGAAAGGAGTCAGGTGGCCGTGAGGATCTGGTCTCAGACATGTCCGTGCACCCCTGAGCACTTGGATTCCCCGTGAACTGCGCCGAACTCAGGGGCACCATCAGCCATTGTTAAAATGGCACCGGCCGGCTGCGACCTTGTGGTCTCAAGGTTGCTCCTCCTTGTAACCATTCCTTCTTGCCAGCTCCCATGACAGTTCTTGCTAAACAACTCACATAACTAACCGTGGCCTTGCAGTTTTTGCCTTTATAAACTTGCTCCAATTTGAAGTCCGGTGCAACACAATTCAGGTGCTTCTTGAATCTGTGTCTCCTGGGCTGCGGTCCTAAAAAACCCCAAATAAATACCTCTTTATTTCAGTCAGGTCCCCATTTCGGAAATTTTGGTTGACAACCAATACTTCTCATTTCCAGTTTCATCCTTGTGTTGGTTACTTTCCCCCGGGTTCTTCATCATGGATGTCCTTGCGCCCGTGGGGCTCCAGCAAGCAGGTGACTTCCGGAGACACAAGCCTGCGTTTTGAGAACTGAGTTGAGTATCCCTGCTTCTCTATCGCTGTGTCCGTATTTAATTTGTTGTTCTTTATGTCTGGAGTACAACCCCTGGAAACTTCACGTGGTTCACTAACTGTCCTTTAAAAATTAACGCATATATCATGTATCACATTTTACAGAACCAGAAATTCCTGATTGCTCTTCCTCATTAAATCCAGGGCTGAAATAAATTTTAAATAGGATTTAAAAAGTTAAAAGATTGCACATGACTTAAAATAAGGGTATTATTATTATTTAAATAAAGCAAAATTCACATTACATAAAATCAACCGTTTTAAAGAAGGGCATTACTCTTTTTTTTTAAAGCCCCTCCTTTCATGAACATGAATTAGTTTCATGAATTAGTCTTTCTTTTTTATAAGCCCCTTTGTTTCCCTCCACATTCTTAGCCTCATGATTTGATGAGACTGAAACCCAGCCCCAGCTCCCGGGGAGGCTCCCTACGTCAGTCAGGGAACCCACGTCTCTGGCTACCAATAACCGGTCCAAGGAAGGACCCGTAAACGAGTCAAAACCCAGGAGAGGCAGAGAAACCTTCCTGGGCTTGTGGGCTTGGAGGCAGCCTCTCCTTGTTCTGCCTAGAGAGGGGTAAATTGGGAGTTCGAGATTTGCAGATACTAGCTAATATACATATAAAATAGTAATCAACAAGCTTACACTGTAGAGCACAGGGAACTATATTCAATATCTCGTAGTAACTTAGGGTGAAAAGAACATGAAAACGAGTATATGTGTGTTCATGCATGACTGAAGCATTACGCTGTACACCAGAAACTGACACAATGTTGTACACTGACTACTTCAATAAAAACACACACACACACACACACACAAATAAGAAAGACCCTCTCTCTTCCACTGGGTGATACAATATGAAGTAGGGATTAGAATTTCAGCAATTGTGTGTTTTTTAAAGTTTTAATTAAAAATTTTTTGTTTTCTTTTTACCTTTTGATCTTTAGTCTTCCTTTTCTACCTTTTCACTATTAGTCTTAATCTACTGTAGTAAGTGGCCAGCCAGCTACTTCTTTCATCTTAAATGTTATGTAAACTGTACTTCAGGCTTCACCAGCATCACAGGGGGAAGGAGGAGGGAGAAGCAGCCCAGAGTGGTTAGACACAAAGGGGAGCGGGAGGAACTGAGAGAGGAGAAGACTGGAGAAGCAAGAAGCTCCCACGCCATCACTTCGTGGCTGCCCTCTGCTTCCCGCCTGGGCTCCCCTGGCTGGGGTGGGTCTAATGAGGACTCTGTTCTGGGGAGATGCTAATGCTCCCCAGCATCCACCAGTTCAATCAGTTTCTAATGGCATGTACGGTCAGCCCTCCGCATCTGAGGGTTCTGCACCCGTGGATTCACCAACCTCGGATAGAAAATATTTGGAAAATTAGAGTTCCAGAAAGTTCCAAAAAGCAAAACTTGAATTTGCCACATATCAACAACTATTTACATAGGATTTACACTGTATTTACAACTATTAACACAGCATTTACATTGTATTCGGTATTATAAGTAATCCAGAGATGATTTAAAGTATGTGGGAGGGTATGTGCTGGTTATATGCAAATACCATGCCATTTTGCATGAAACTTTTTGAGCATCCTGGGATTCTGGTGCCCTGGGATGGGGGGGGTCCTGGAACCAATACCCCTCGGGCACTAAGGAACAATTGTTAATCTTGGAACTATTGGAGGAAAGACGAAACAAGCAATAAGGATTTTTTGCCCCCCATTTCTACTTTTTTTGCCTTTGCATCTTCAGGTGGGAGGTGAAGATATTGAAAGCGCTTGACTTTGACCCCAGTCTTAAATTTCTTATCTTTTCACTCAGGCTTGGGGCCTTTTCTAACTTGTGAGATGCGTCTGTTTGACCAGGGTGGTCACTAATCCCCTCCCTCCCACATCCCGGCAAGCCCCGGACTCGCTGCGGGTCCACAAGCCTCGGTCCACAAGCAAGAGTCTCTGGCGGTGGTCTGGGGATGCCTGGGGGTCCCTGAGATACTGCAGAGGGTCTGCAAGGTCAAAACTATTTTTCCCGGTAATTCTACCACGCTTTTAGCTTCTGTTCACTCTCGTGAGTGTGGTGTGGGTTTTCCAGAGGCTACATGACGTGTGTGATCCCAACAGACTGAATGCAGAAGCAGGAGATGCCAGCTGGCTTCTATTCAGCTAGACATTCAGGAGATCTGCAAAAATTTAAAATAATGCCACACTTGCAATTTTTTCTTCTGGAAAGTATAGTTATTTTTCATAAAATTATGTTATTTACATGAACATGTAATGGATTAGATATTTTAAAAATCACTTTGTTCTAATGTGGTAAATACTGATAGCTTTTCTCCCCAGCAAAAGCTCTTTGGGGCCCTTCAAGGGGAGCTAAACCAAAAAGCCAGAGGACGGCGGCTCTGGAGTCAAAGTACCCACACTTTCCCACTTCCCATCTGTGCTCAGCCTGGTGGGCGTCAACAGAGGCAGTTGCAGAAGGGGACCCACGGGTCTGTGTGGATCTGCCCTGTGAGGTTGCCCGTCCTGGGCCTCCTCTTGGAGGCACTGAGTCCTTCCAGGGCTGGGTCTTCTGGACCACCTGCCCCCAATTCCAGCCCCAGAAGCACCCTGAGAACATCAGGATGTGTCATTTGCACTGAGAGATTGAATATACAATGGAGAGACCATACATATATGAAAACAGAGCCGCTGCAGCAACTGGCCCGTAACAGCCAGGACTCAGTCAGCGATGGCCAACTTCCCTAAAGTCTGCCCGACTTCCAGCTCAGGACCAACCAGAGAAAGGCGTATGTGCTCTCATAACTAACCACACAGGATGCCCGCTTCTAGTTTGCTGCTTCCTGCCTCCCTGTGCACAAGCCCGGAGCAGGCCCACCTGAAGCCCCTCTTGTTCGCCATAAGGCTTTCCCACTTCCTGCTTCGCTTGCTTTTGAGTCTCGGCCAGAGGCCAGCCTTCTGGGTTGAGTTGTGTCCTCCAGGAATTCCTGTGTTGAAGTCCTGATCCTCGGGACCTCAGAATGTGCCCTTCTTTGGAGATAGAATCATTGTGGATGTAATTAGCTAAGACGAGGTCATACCAGAGTAGGGTGGGCCCCTCATCCAGTATGACTGGTGTCCGTATAAAATGGAGAAATTTGGACACAGATCTGCACAGAGACCCAGGGATGCATTGACAAGTCAAGGAACACCAAAGGTCACTGACAAGCCACTGGAAGCTAGGAGGGAGGCCTGGGACAGATTCTCCCCAGCACCTTCCAGGGGGGGCATGGCTCTTCTGATTCCCCGATCTCAGACTCCAGCCTCCAAAGCTGTGAGAGAACTCCCTTCTGCTGTCTGAGGCCGCAGCGCGCGGTGCCTTGTTACGACAGCCAGAGCAAACCAACGCAGCCGGGGACGGTGCAGGTGCCCCTCTTGCTGCAGCAAGTTCTGACAAATGATAGCCCTTGCCTGCTGTCACTGGGTGGTCTTCATCTGTTTCCACGGCACCCACAGCCCTGCTGTGGGAAGTCAGGCCTGCAGATGGAGTTAACACGACCCCAGGCAGCCAGGCTTCCGGATGGCGGATGGCTGCTGGCAGCCTTTTCCCAGGCTTTGAGTACTGGGCCTTGACACGGCCCTGGGGATGACCTGAGATGGTCCCGTAGGCTCTGGACTGACCGTGGGGTTGGCCCCAGCGCTGCTCTGCCATCACCTCTCTGGCTGGTGACCAAAGAGCTTCCCAGGAGGCAGTGCGGGGCCCAGGCCTGGCTCCAGGCGGTGGTGGCCTGACCCCCACAGCCGGCCTCACCCCGACTCCCAGGCCGCGGGTGCTTGCAATGCAGTGGTAACCCTGGAAGTCTGTGCTGCTGTTATTCCCATTTTGTTAAGTGTTTGGAGCTCTTTCAAAGGTGTCCGTTTGGCCTTCCAGGTGCTTGGGGAACACAGCCTCTTGCCTCCCACAGCAGGCAGAGGCTGACTGGAAACAAGTTATTTTGAGATGGGCACGGGCTGTACAGATAACAGTATTTTACTGCCGGAGTCGTGTGAGCAATGTTGGGGTTGGGGGAGAAGAATGCAGATGAGTTTAAAAATAGAAGGCTGTAATTAGCCAAGCACGGATTTGTTCTAGAAGGCATCGATTACTACGGCAACCACACACCCCAGATTCTCCAGGACAGTCTTCATTCTGTGAAATTTGATTCTTTTCAGTAAAGGTGATCTGTTAACAGTCTGCATGTTACTTAATGTTATGGAATTGTATGACGTCACACACAAATTAACTCACAAATCCAAACAGCACCTTGTCCTGTCATCACTCATTTTCTTATGTTTTTCTTTTTTCTGTTTTGAAGATACAAGCATTGCGGCTGTGGTCCTTCCCACGGGTTAAGGACTAGCTATGAAGATAAGAATTCAGGAGGGTGTGTGTGAGACGTGGGGCCGCGGAGAGGGTGTGAAGTGGGGAGTTTGGCTTAAACTTCTTGGTTGGAGAGCTGGACATTTTTTATTGAATGTAAACTCAAGGGGGTCATTTTCAAGTGTTCTGTATGCTGCGTCTCACGCAGTTCCAGAGTGGCTGTGCAGGGGACACTTGTGTTAGCCGCTCCGGGTGTGGGTTATTACGGCTTACCCACGAAGTGACGGGTGTGTGATGAATGAGATTTGTACAAATGCATCCCTGCAGAGCCCAGAGCCTGGAGCTTGGGATCAGAGGGACCGGAGCCCACCGGGTGGCCCCAGCATGGTGCCGGGCAGAGGATAGGAAACCATCGTTCCATTTTCTGCCTAGGTTCTCAGAGGCGGTGATGGTTGTGTTGGCCGGTAGATGAAGGGGGAAAGAGGCCAGCATGAGTCCAGGAAGTGAGGATACTGGAGTTGGAGATGGGAGGCACCCACTCACTGCTGCTGGATGGTCATCTTAGCACCAGAAACCTACATTTTGGAAACTTGAATATTCATTGTTATTTGTGTTTTCAATAAGGAGTCCCCTCAGTTTTCTGCAGTCTTAGTTTTATTAATATTCTTTTGCAAATATCAGCTAATTTTGGTTATCCTCAGGGGATGAGAGGAGAGAGACTTTGATCTAGGGCCGGAATTTTGATGGGCATTATTGAAATCGGAGTTAAAAGGAAACCAGTCCTAAGGGAAGATGACTCTCGGAGGGAAGAGCCTGGGAGCCCTGGAGATGAGTTGAAAATGCACCTCTGTCTACCAGTGTCTCCTCTCCACCGCTTCTCTGCATGAACTTCCCAGGGGTTTGCATTTTGGTTTTAAAAGGAAGCTGTTCTGCGTCCTGACTGTGCGCTGCCCCAGGTGGTGGCATCTCAAAAAAACTTGCCTCCAACACTACTTTTCCTTTGTAAAACAGTGTCTCAGCCTGTGACTTACCACTAGCATCCGAAGCTCCTGGAGGGCTGTGAATCCCAGAATTCCAGCTTCTTCTTCAGACTTAACGTCTGAATCAGAATCTCTGGGTCCCTGGGCCGAGGGGTCAGCATTTTCAGCACACACCTAATTGCTTTTTAAGCACACCAAAGATTAGGAACCACTACTGCAAAATCTCAAAGTGTGCAGCTGAGCCCTGAACCCAGTCTTACCTCTGCAGTCTTGGATCATTTCAGGAGAGGATCATTTCAGACCTCCAAGGCCACATGCCTGCATTCCTTCTGCTTAAGTGGCGGAGGCACGTGTCTGTGTTTATAAGGCTAAGGCCCAGCCAAAAGATAACCACAAGGCTCGTGCCCTCGGTGGGACGCAGAGACGTGCACCGTTTCCTAAGACAGTGACACCAAACCCTGCTGATGACTGTGTCTAGATGTGTGCGTGGCTCCACGGCCGTGTACAGAACGCGGAGGCCTGGGGAAGGGTCTGAGGGGCGACAGCACGTGCAGGGTGCCCCGACTGCCCCTGTGCTGATCTGTAAGGTCACCACGTGTCTGCGTCTGTCTTTGGAGGGCGCCCAGCTCAGTGTGGTGAACAGCTGATAAATGCTGGTACCCTGAGCGGCTGAGCCTTAACTTTTGCAACTGGGGGCAAACATCGGGAATGGTTTCCTGTGGCAATGGGACTATTGTTAGTCTTACAGATAGAAGCAAAGGATGAACCATGGAAACTCATTAGGTTCTGCTGGAAATTTACCAGTCATGCCCAGACAGGTAAATCAAGGTCAGTCCTGCCCCCCCGCCACGCCCTCTTCCCAGATGTCAGCTTCTTAGCCATTTCTTGATTTCTCCATCTGAAGCAGCACACTCTCATCCCTCACCCTGATTTACTCTTCCTCAAAGCCCTCCTAAATGCACCTGTTCAGCATCAGTCCTCTCACTGGAACCTGCGCCCACAGGGAAGGCTCTCAGGTGGTCCTGATCATCATAGGATTCTCGGGGCCCGGAGTGGTCCTGGCCTGTGGCAGATGCTGGAAGAGTGTTGAATGAATCGACGGAAGACAAGATGCCCAGAGGAAGAGCCATGGGCTCCTTCCCGCCCCTCTAAGTGTCCCCTGTTCACTGGGGCAGGAACTCTTCAAGTTCATGCTCCTAATGAATCTGAGCGATGTCAGAGTGCCTGGCAAACCTGGCTGGATACAACAGGTGCGC